TGGGGTGGCCTTTTATTGTCCCCAGTCCAAGGATTGTCCAGCTGTTGCTCATTTTGTCTGATCACCCACTGGACATGCCCCACCCATGCACTGAGTAAAAAAACAACTCACTGAGTAATGCTCACTGACAGCAAGTTGGACTAAAAATTATACACAAATCAAGAGAAATATTACTTTTGTTCAATAAAATGTCAGCAAATGCTCATTTACAGTTGTTAACTCCACATGGCAACAATATTCGACATGGGGCGTTTATATTTTTGTTCAGTGTACATACATATATATATATATACACACAGTCTTAATGCACACTGTTGATATGCAATTTGAGGTTTAGTCTTGCTCTTTGGTGCTTAAAATTAATCAACCCTATACATGACATCACACAATTTTTCCAAATGCAAGTTAATCATGGTATCATCTCCGGTATTCTGCAGCGTACTCCCGTGTTTAGTGTCTGCTTGGTAAATGTTCGAGCAAATGAGGAAAAGCCTTATTACTCTCCATGTTCAAATTAGAGCTAACTGGGTGGATTCATTTTATTATGTAAAACGTTTTCAAAAAGTGTGCAACAAATATTTGCATACGAAATAGAACACTGAATACTTGTAAATGAGATGCAAAACGCGTGGCACAGATTTGTATCAGGTTTTTTTTTTTTTGCGCGCTGCTTAAGTTTACTTTAACAAAACACAGACGAGCACATGGGTGCACACACATTTCAATTGCCCCTGATGAAACCTCTGTTGCTATGGAAACTCTTTGACAGAAACTTCTCACTAAGCTTTCCATTGACACGAATCACCCCAAATCCATCCTTCAGCTCAAAGTTGTCCTTTCTTTTAGGCCTTAACCTAACAGGTTCGGGGTTGCTGCAGTGTTTTCAACTATGATCGGGTTTTAACAGAATCAATAGAGGGACAGATTGGACTCGATTACAGTCTTTATATACTTTACTCCTTTAGTTACTGCCAGAATTTCTCTGCATTTAAGGACCGCACACTACAGTAAGAGACTACTGTCACCACTACAAACACAGATTCTTTAAAGAGATCAATATTAATGTTATCCCTGAAGAAATGAAGAATTGGTTGATTCATACGGTATGCAGTAAATTTGGGAATCAGCCTCTATAACTCTGTTTTTTCGCTGGATTTGAAAGCAGACCGTCAGAGCTGCATAAAGCTTTGGAACGAAGGACACATCAAACATGTTGGAATTTAATAACAAAGTGTGTTTGTAAGATTTTGAGCAAATACTTTTATCTGTGTCTGCATGAATGTATGTGAGGACACAGACATGAATGTTAAATTCAAAAGTGCATCAGTCATACCAGTAATTTTGTCCAGTTCAGCCAAAGTCTCCTGGTAGGAGCTGATGATTCCTCCGTATCGTGTCATCACCTCCTTCCTTAAGTTGTCCCAGTGAGGAGAAAGCTCTCCCAGCTCCCTCAGATCCTGCACCCTAAAGATAAACACAAGTACATGAAGACCTTTGTGGTTCTAATACTAATACACTGATAATTTCAATAAATTCCACAAATGTCAACTTCCTCACTGACATGATACAATTTAAGAGGAATAAGTACTAAGTAGTTCATAGTTATAAGTATGTATTTATAATTACAATGCTATAGCTACTTGTGTCTTTCAAACTCATTGAAAATTATCAACATTTCGCAGTTGGGGTACAAAAAATGATTAACAGTCCTGGTAAAACACAGACACCAGCTTGCACATAGTGAATCAGACACACATGCTCACACCGTATCCCAAAGCATCCTCTGCTGAGCCAGATAAACACATTTCTCAACCTCAGGCTAGGAGCTTATGCCCACTTATCCACTCTGCCCTATCAAATTCCTCCCCTGCTCTTTACCATTCTTCTACCATTACATATAAAACAAACTTATCCGCTTTTTACTGGTGTCACTGGAGGAAGCAGCTGTCTGTCTTTCAGCTAGCTGTGCCTCAAGCCTCAGACCAAAATCACCTGTGCTCCATCTAAGGAAATAATTGTAGTTATGCATTTGTGTGTATGTGTCTGTGTCTTTTTGTGTAGCGGCTGATTTCCGACTATGAAGCACAACCTCTTTCATTGGCTCATCATTTGCATAAGAAAAGCGACATCAGATGGACAGATATCATTCAAAAACAAGCCCTCCAGCATCAACTGAAGAGTAAATTACAGTGATATTATAGAAATTAGAGGTTGAAGGAGGTTTTATACATTACTCAGAGTAACAAATACACAATCATAGGCGCTACCTTTATAACAACGAGCCCAATTTTTGTAATTACACCTCATACATTTTGCATCCTGTATGTTTTAAAATGAAAGGCTGCATGCACAAATGCATGCTGATTCAACTTGTTGTTAATAGCAGGTATAATTTTCACGAATGCATAATGTAGTAGATATTTCTTTGTTGTTGTCCAACTACTACAACAAAGAATTAGGTGCAGATAGCCTCGAAAGACGATTCCCCTGTTTCTTCAGTGTAAGTTATTTTTAGATTACTTTGAAGTGTTTCAATAAACAGCAGAGTGATAGAAGTGATGCCAAAAAGAGAGAGAGAGAAGAGAGAGAGAGAGAGAGAGAGAGAGAGAGAGAGAGAGCGATGGAGCGAGAGGGAGTCTCATTTAACAAAAGTCAAGGTCAAACAATGACCAAACCCACAAAGTTTTAAAGGATCTGTTCCACCAACAATACAAGTAACATAATCAATTAGCTATTTACTTATTCTTAGGGGCTGCAGATAAACTGGATCTCGGCTGACATTGGGCGGGAGGCAGGACACGCTGTGGTGGTTTTCAGTCACACAGTGTGCAGTGTATTAGCAGCTTGATGCAGATATATCTGAAAATGTTGTTCTATATAAATAATTGCCAGTACAAGAGATATGGAAGCAGTACTGAGGCCACTGAGCTACAGTGTTCCTATTAAATAAACAAATTAAACTAAAATTATCCGCATGGACAGATATTACTTGAGGTCAGTGATTTAGGTAAACTGATTCTTTCGTTACACAGTGTGCCTTCAGCTCACCACATATATATGAACAGCATAGGTAACATTTGCAAATGACACAAGATGATGAGTCTTTGTAGCACACCTAAAACAACTGGAGAGGTTGTAGACAAATTGTATCACATAGGAAACATTTCCCTCATCTCTTGCATTTACCGACAGAACTAAACAAACCTGGGGCTTAAAACAAGCTCAAGGCAGAGAGGCACCGCATGCTGGGCAACTCTGCCAACACACTCTGCAGGTGGTTGTAACTAAGTTATGCTTATGGCATAGGCGGATAGACAGGATGCTTCCCGACAAAGTTAAGTAGATTCAAATTACCATTAGCAAAAGAAGCTCATAGGATCATGACCAGCAGGACAGGCATGGGATTCGAGGTAATTTTAAAGAAGTATCATTTTCACTTTTGTCATAACATGAATGCTTAAAAGGATTTAAAAAGAGACCAGTAAACAATAAACATGTTTACTCTAAAGGAGTGATGTGCAATTGCTATCTTTGTCAATGGTGGTTCAAAACACTTATGTTAAAAGAAAATGAAGGTTTGAATAAAGCGAGACAACCTGAGCTCAAAAAACAATCACAGGTCTTTTACTGATTCATACAAGTGTAGGACTAAACAAGTCGACATTACAACTCTTTCAGAGTCAAGACATCAGTGGCTTCCATCAAATATATTGCTCCCAGTATATCTATTTAGCTTGGAGCAGCCACTATTACCACTAGTACTATAAAAGGGACACTTTAGCCAATCAAGGGGGGCAGTGTTATTTTTTGCTGATTTCAGTAGCAAGTGCTACATGGCACTAAATAGCTACAATGATTGTAATCAAATGCAACTATTCACAGTAATCTATGTCCTCAGGCTATACCTCTGAGACGATGCTATTTGCGTGGCCCAGGGTCAAACCACACTATTGTCCCCGGGGAGTTTAGGTCAGGGTGGACGATCCCAGTGTACATAACAGAGAATAGATAAAACAACAGATAAATATGTCTGCTTGCTAAATGAGGGTGATAAGGCAGTGGGATAGCAAATAGAGAGATATAGTGTCTTCCCCTTAATCAGTGTGCTATTGTCTGGAAAGAGTAAAGGTGTGATAAGAGTAAGTATAGCCTGATTAACTATATGTATGTAAAGACTAAAAGGTCACAATGTCAACCAGATCTTTTGGTATAACAGACAAAAGATATTTCTCTGGTTGGAAGAGGAAAATGCATCGTGAATGTAAGATTTAATGTTATAAAGTAGGATCCTTTTGTTTGGTTTTTAACAGTTAAATAACTAACTAACTAACTAACTAACTAACTAACTAACTAACTAACCTGTAGTTAGAACTGATCCCATTTCTTTGTATGGTGTTGAATTTAGAATCAATGCATTTAAGTTTGTTGATGAAATTTTGTTACTTCTTGTTTTTTGATGACATTACTCAAAGTATATAATTATCTTTAAACTTTGATCCGCTATGTTGTTGGTAATTCATCTAAAGGGGCCTTAAACACATTCTTAAAGGCAAAAAAACCCCAACTTGTCCTAAAGCAACCAAAATAATGTAGAATATCACAGTAGACTGGGTAGTTATTTATGCTTTCCAGAGACTCAGAACTTGCATTCTGCAGTACGTGTTCTCAGAGATAAGAGATGAAATCAGAAAACAAGAGAAAACTAATCAATGGACAGAAGACAGTCTCTTATAGTGCAAGAAACCTAATAGGAAAAGGGAGGGAGTGATCACTGACAGTAAAATAATCTATATAATAACAAGTTGGATTTATATGAAGACACATGATAGCCGATGCAGTTCAGTCATTAATTTTGACTGAAACATGATGCAGACACCACAATATGAAACAACAGGCAATAATCAAGAAGAGCAATATGTTAATATCGACTACGACAACTGATGGGGATAACAGAATACATTTCCAGAAGAGAAAAGACCTGTCATGTGGGCACCTTTATTTCATGGCACGTGTTCAATTTAATCACAGTGTTTTGTGTGTGGGGTCAGTTAAACCCTGTTTCAGAGGACTGAGAAGCAAACGCTCCTTTCACAATACATCCAGTCTGTTCTGAAAAAAAAAATAAGCTCCATCCAACAAGTCATCAATACTGATCCTAAATGTAAAGAACAAGAAGAAACACAGAAGCCAGATGTCACCATGTCACCTATATGATCTTGACACACCAAATCAGTACTTGTTAATTAACATGAAAGGAAGGGGGACATGTTTTTTTTTTTCATTAATGAGAAACCAGACAGCTCCTAATGAATGGGTTTTATCTACACCTACACACTTTACTACACATGCATTCATTATCTTTGCCCGCACACGCACACAGAGTCCTCAGCATCTTCACTGGAGGAACGAAGGAAAATCAGCCACCTCTGTGCTCACAGAGTTAGATTAGAGCATGACTGTAGACATCAAAGCTAACAAACAGAAGGAAGAAATATATCCAAGATTATCATAGAGTGGTAAAGCAAACTAAGCCACCCACCATCCGCTGCCGCGCTCACAACTTTGCAGCACTAACGGAATCGTTAAAAACCCTGAGCTAGCACCACCGTGAGCTTGGCTGACAGAATCGGCTAAATAGAGAGGCACCGTGGAGAAAGACAACATTTAAAGAGGATTATAGGAGAGGTGCTTAAGCGACCGAGCTGGAGATACGGTACACATGCCTGTTAATAAACAAACACTGTATATGGTAGTCATGGTGTGGAGCCTGCTGAGTGCTCATGAGCTGTATTATACAGATAAGACGGTTCATAAATATTCCCTAATTGTCTTCTAAATTTAGCTGTGATTTAAATTTTCAGTTTACAGAGCTGATCACCTTCTGTTCAAAAAAAAAAAAGAGAGTAGGGTTGGAGATGCAGAGAAATGATGTAGGAACTGTAGTGCTGGCATGTGGATTCATTCCAGTGTACATGTTTGACAGATGAACTGATGACAAAGCTTGTCTGGTCAATAATGTCTCAGACTGTTTCTGTGTGCGTGGTGGAGGGAGAGACTCTAGTTGTGTGTGTGTGTTTGTGTGTGTGTGTGTGTGTGTTTCTGCACGTGAACCCGTCCTTGAACTTGTATGTGCGTGTGAGCCTTTAGGTGCACACCATGAGTACAAATGAAACGTTCATACCAGTCTGTGATTGCATCTTTTTGTTCCTCCTCCTTGCATTACAGCGAGCATAAAGAATTCATGTGAAGCTCTGTGTGGGGGTATGTATGTGCTGTATGTATTGGTTGGTGTGGTATGGATGAGAAAGGGTTGCCATGGACAACAGGCCAGTTGAGGAATGATTTGTCTTGACAAACCCGGGTCGAGCCTGAGGGGAGGGACTCGCTGATCTACTTACATTTGCAAACTGGTGAAGCATCACCTCGCTGTCATTGCCTTAACCTGTCCTCAGTCTCACACAGTATTAACTGTACTGAACTTTAGCTGCAGTTATAGTCTTGATCTCCATAATGTTCTTTTATTTTTAGTATTTAAACACATTTATTAATTTTTTTTGAGTGTGGTTCTGATGTAAAGCAGGGGGAATGTCACTTTTGGCAATTCTTTTTTGACAGTAGGTCTATCTGAACAAGACTAAGAGGCTACGGGGAGCTGTTAGATAAACTTTTGTTTCTTTTCCATCGGCTAATTAGCTGGTACTTAATGAGAAATCTGGCGGTGACATCCACAAAATCCTGAGAACGATCAAAGTGACTTACCTGCTCATGTCCTCCTGAATGTACAGTGACAGCAGCTGTTTGGGGATGCTAAATGACAAAGTGCACTCCTCCATTTGTTCCCGCACAAGCATCCACTTGCTGTCCACTGTTTGAAATCTGTACACCTTGCATACTGGATTCCTGAACACTGTGAGAAAGAGACAAGGGGAGGGGTGAGAGATGTACTGAACCACTGTCTGACTCAGCAGAAAATACATGACTTTCTTGTCAAAAAAATTCTAAAGATAATTCTTAAATTTCGCCAAAAAAAAAAGGTAAACACAGCATCCGAAGCAATGCCGAGAGCTGCCTGCCCTCAAGGACGCCACAGAAAAGACAGAAAGTCTTCAAAAGTCACATGAGGTATGAAGCACAAATTAAATTCTATAATCAATAACTGTGTCTGCCATAGATAAGACGTTTCTCATCTTCGAAGGCCTTCTCTCTCTCTCTCTCTCTCTCTCTCTCTGGGTCCACTTCAGCAGCATCACAGTCAACTAAAATATGGGCTAAAAGATGGAAACCTTGGTCCTGTTAATCTTTGCCATTTTATTTCGTCCATTTCCATTTTAATTGCTTGTTTATTGTACAACACTGGAGCAGAGTTTGTTGAATCATTCTGAAACTTTGCTTGCTAACCCCGCCGCCCATTAGAACTGATTCACATTCAACCCCATCTTCTTCATTTTTGCAGAGAGTGGCTAATAGCAGCAATCGAAGGCTGGAAAGGAAAAACAGCTCTAATGCTCTTATCTGCATGCTGGCAGCAGAGGGCAAGAAAGCTGTGAGCCTTAAACAGTGTTTACTACTCCTTTTCATTTCAGAGCTGCAGTCAGAAAGAAAGTCACTCAATAAGTCAGAGCTGAAGCACCCGGGGTGAAACATCGACAATCTTGCTCACGGTAGTCAAACATGCGTGGCAGGAAAATGTTTTTGCCTGAATTCAAAAGTGGGAGTCATACTTCTGCTCCCACTGACAGCACAGAGAACGGTCCACACAAAAAAACCCTTCATACTGTTTTGTAACGCAGTTTTGCCCCAAATATCTTTTCTTCAAAGTCATCCGAGTGTCCAAGCCATTAATCCTAGTGCTGCTTTGTCATTTTTTTCCTCCAGTGTTAAAGTTCAGCGATGCCCTTCAGCGAAAATGGGGTCAAAAAAGCGCAACAGAGTAGGAGATTTTATGTAGTGCAAGTATTAATTTCAGATGCAATGTCATGATGTGTGCTTCTTTTCAAAAGTGGTTTTAACTGTGTTCAAATAAAAGCTTGTTTCCAGATGAAATTTGGGCGACTGAGATTAAAAGAACAAAGAACTGATTTAGCACAATGGAAGACAATTTTCCAACAAGCCATATTGTCTCTTTAGGGTCATTCCTTCTCAAATCATCAGATTTGTAGAATTATTTCTGCTCTGGGATCTTTCTTTGTGGAATGCATGGTCTCTCTGTGCCTGCCTGGATGCTCCCACTTCCTCCCGCAGTCCGTAGACATGCTGAAGTTAACTGGTGATTCCAAGTTGTCTGTGAATGTGAGTGCGCTTGATTGTCTGTCTCTCTGTGTGTCTCTCCTATGATAGACTGGCGACCTGTCCAGGGTGTCCCCTGCCTTCACCCCAAGTCAACTGGGACAGACACCAGACCCTGCGATCCAAGTGAGGATAAAGTGGTGTATAGATAATGGATAGATGGGATGCAACGTTTCAAAATTGCCCTTTGACCCACTTTCGACATGCTTTCCTCGACATTAAAATTATTTATTATTATTTGTCAGCATGCCATTGAATCAGAATCGTCAATGTTGGACAATAAGATCAAATAATCTCTGATTATTGTTGAACTCAAACAAGAAAAAAAAATCTAATTGAAATGTTTCTTTAATAATTCATAAAATAATGCAGTTTAAATTTTATTGTGTGAAAAAATTACTGAAAGCAGGTCAACAGGCAACTTTATAAAAACAAACTACACACCTATTGGAAAGCACTTGATAGATCTATGAAAAAATCCTAAATGCCATTTTAAACATTCCATAGTTTGTGAGATAAAACTTTCGAGCAAATCAATGATGGTCAGACAGAAGCCCCGTGATGCTTTTAGATGGAATAGCCCATTAACATCCGCCCACATTATTACATGCTATCCTGGAATATTCTATTTTTTTCTTATCATCAACAAATGCTACATGAGGAGCAAATCCAGCAATAAATCGATCTTACTAACAAGAACTGTACGTGCATCTAAAGCCTGATATTGATTAATTCTCTGTACCAACAATCTTCATTGGTGTCCACAAACTAATATATCCCATTGCTGAGCCTCACTGTTGCACAGGATAACAGAGGTGGAAATGATGACCATTTAATCCTACATTGGTATATGTATATTCACCCATGGCTGGACTTGGTCCTGTGAAATTCACTCTTTACTCCGGTTGCGAATAACTACAGTGCCCAGCAGTTACTGTTGGACAGCTTAAAAGAAAAAAAAAGAAAAAAAAAAACTTGGACATTAAAAAGTGAGCTTGTAGCAAAGTGCCTCAAGGCAAGAAATGGGAGATAATTGAGAAGACTAATGGATTGTACTTTTTGTCTCTTCATGAAATTTCTAGATGAAGATAAAAATAAAGAATAATTCCACCATTTTATTTAAAAGCCATACACAGTAACTCTGGTCATCTGGTATGGCATTTCCGACGACATAAGACACTTTTAAATGTCTGCATAAAAGTATTTCCATTACTGTTTCTCACATAACCTTTATTTTATTCACATATAAATTCTCTGCATCAAAGCAGCAAAATGATTGTTAAGTTGTCTTATTGCATATTACTAAAAAGGTGATTAAACTCTGTTTATTTTCAGATTCGTCACATCATAATTTGTGCGGAACAAAACCAATGTACATACAGACAATAAAGAGCCTCCTAAGGACAATAACCGTACGCTAAATAGACTATAGACAGGCTTATTATTATTATTTTTCTGCAATGCTGAACATGATGTTGAAATTAATGATGATTAAGGTTAAGACTAGCCTGAGAATGATCCCCGAAAGGATTCATAATTGCATCTAAATTAAATGAGAAATTCAGGCATAGCTGGCATGGGGATTAGAGAAAGTGGAATGGATGACAAAAATAAATGGGGAGCAAGAGACACATGGAGAGAAAGGGGTGAAGACACAGCCTTAATCGGAAGAGCGACAGTTGCTGACTTCCACCTCCGTCAGAGAAGCGGATTAACCCCTGAACTCCCCCCTGCCACCACACTAATCTGACCACCAATCAGGCGCCTCCGTTTCCCTTCCTGACACCTCTTAAGAAAATGACTTCCCGAGACGCGCTGTGCGTGGGCTCCCCTACCTCCCTGTTCTCTGCATGCTCATTCTGAAAGGTAATAAAAGTGGAAGACTAAATTGCATTACCCAATCTGGAGATATCTGCAGGGAGGGTATTGTTTTGACAGGCTGCAGATGTGCACCTGCAAACATGGCTGCAGTTCACTAGTTAATCGCAGTAGAAACAGTAAGCGACAATGACACCATGACAACAGGCGTGGGGCTGCTGGGGAGCTCACGGAGAAGGTGGGAAATCTGGATAAAAGAGAAAATGGATGTGTGGAACAAATGGATGCATGGGATGAAAAAAGGAAACTAGTTTCCCAAGTCTCCTCTGAACAAGGACTGTGAAGTTTCAACACAGCAGGAGTCGTGACCTTTTCAAGTCTATCCCTTTTCTGCCCACATGTCTTTCATTTTCTCCCCACAATTCTCCCTTGCTCTACCGGTGAGAGAGCTGGCTGTCTGTGCTGCCACTAAATTAGTCTCACGCTGCTCGCATGGCATCTTTTGCTCGTCTTCGGTAAATCTACAAAGGATCGAGTAGGTTCACCTCATTGTCACATACAGTACCTGTCTCCTGTCTGCCTTAAAACACCAAGACTTCTACTAAATCAAAGCAGCAAAAATAGAAATTCCTTAATCAAATACGATACCTCAGAGACGCTTCAAATCTTCTTAATGGAAAGGTTATTCAAGGCCAGTTTAAAGTTAATTAGATGCAGAACATTGAGGGACTTTTAGATAAAGATGTTACAGGGTGTTAACTACCACAATGCATTAAATGCATTAACATAGTTTTTAATAGAATTAAAGTATTTCAAGTTTTCCTTTAAGGCCATTACAAGGTGAGCTCTTGCTTCTCCTGCATAACTTAAAAGGGGATGAAGAAAACGTAGGAAGAAAGGGAAATTAGAGACCTTTCTATTGCCACATTATTCGACAATGAAAGGTGAAATTACAGGTGTTGAGGGTGTGAATCATACCTGGTCCTGTCAGTGGGTTATTTTCTCTGTCCACGCAGGAATGGTGTGCAGACTCACAAACCAACGGACACTGAAAAAGAAAGAGGGAAAGAAGCACAAAGAACTGACATCAAGATTTTCTCTTTGAGACCAAAACAGGAATGGTGAAATATTTTTCAAAAGAGTAGACAAGCTTTGATCGTATCACCTATGACCACAGCCTCATTGCAATATTTGATTTGACAACTGCAATAAGTTTGGCTGCACTTTGGCGATGAAAATTCCAATTTAGCTTTGTCACTCAGAAGCAATGTAACACTGGTGTCAAAGCTGTAGTCAGCAGCTTCTCTTTGTGTTCGGTGAAATAGAACTAATTTGATCCGATTGAAAATGAAACACAAAACTAGAAACGAGCTCACATTAGTGTGATATAAACAAATTTTGAAATAATTGAATAACATGAAAAGATGACTGTTTGAATGCATGCCTTTATTGCCTTTCGCTTTGCAATTGCTTTATTTGGTTTGTATCACAACGTAATTTAATGTCATTTAATTTCACTGAAACAAACTGCTGTGGTGACACACTCATAGAAACAGCAGTTGCTGTATTTACTGGATGCTCACTGCAATCACTACATTCAAAAACTAGGCTCGTATAGATCGCAAGGAGCCCACAGCTATGGATGCACTGCTCTCATTTTAGTTCGCACCTGCAAGCATGTTGGGCTTCTGCCTCCACTGCAATCAGCGAGGTCACAGTAGGCAGCCGTCGACGGAAAACACTTGCTGCGACTTCACTGACTGGCTGGTGAATTAGTAATTTATGACCCCTCACTGCCATTTCAGTAATTATCAACTCACCATATTATAGTTTCCTCCTCTGATAGTAAATTCCACCTGACATATAGTACTGTGCACAGTTTATACAGAATCACCGTACCTGTCTTACTCAATATGGGCAAGAATCATTCAATTATAATGTGTCACGAGAAAATATACAATATGTGGATATTTCAAATTTTCAGTGAACCTTCCCGCGAAAGAAATTCTGTGAAGAATAAAATATACCCTCATATAACATGAGGTATAATAATATAAACTGCCAAGTCCGACCTCCTCTCAGTCGGTGTTGCGAAGCTTGTCAAGTTTTCTCGTCTCACATGGCACAGATGGAGTTTAACTACAATAATAAAGGTAGTACATTTACAGCTTGTTCATTCTTTTCATACTTTCTTGTTTTCAGACAAAAAAAAAGACAAAACCAAGTTGGTCATGTGTAACCAGTTGAATTGACACTTGTTTATCATCATAACTAGCTTTAATCATTTATACCTATCCCATAGTTCGGTGAAAAGTGTCCTAGCTGAGTGCTTAATATTACCAGCTGGCATGCTTTAAAAAGAGAATCTCATAAAATTGTCCTAAATCTGCTCTTGATGGCATTCTTTCAAAAGTTGATGATCCAAAAAAAAAAACCAAAATCCAGCAGGGTCCTTGTATTGCAGTATAGAGGTTGTAAGAGAACGAAAAATGAAGATTAGACCCTTATTTCATCACATTATCAGCTATGTTTGTCTGTCTATATTCACACAAAGTCTGAACCATTAGCAGTTTCCAGATGTTTTTTTCCCCCTCTCATCACCTTTTTACCCACTTTGGGTATTTTTTCATTGCAATAAAAAGTCCTAAACCTCAATGGAAACAGCACAACTATAGTTTCCAAGTAGTGAAATCACAATGATGTAAATCATAGAACACAAAAGCTGAAAAAGAATGGAATTAACCAGTGCAATATTTTCAGGTGTTACCAATACTGAAAACATGGTGACTCTGCATACTATAAATATATCATTGCTTTCACTTTTAGTTTGTTTCCATATTTGTCACCTTTCTGTTCTGTGAAAGTACAGCCGGCAGTTCAGCTGAAGAGTCCGTGAACAAACTAACACAAACACTGGAGCTTTACCACATTATTTTGACAGTGTCAGATTTAATGTAAATAATTACTGGTGTTATTACATATTAAATAACCAAATTAATTTATGAGATAGTATAAAATTATACAACTTTCTTGCCAGGCCATGTATACTGCTTTCTGATGATTAAGTCTGTGTTTCCTCATCAAAGCAACACTGACAACTAACAATCTTTCTCGCTCCCTGTATGTCAGCGCTGCCCTGTTTGATGAACCATTTAACACAGCTAGACAGCCAAATCTGTGCCCAGAAAAAGGACTTTAATGACTGCTAGGAACAATCCATCACCTCTCCTAGCTTACAAACTGATCCTGAATAAAATAGACACCAACCAACACTCGCAGTCCCACAAACAAACCCAGAAGTTAAATTTGTCCATTTAACACAAGGGGCAGAAACAACATTTGGCATTTGGAAATTTCAACAAGTAAAACCTCTGATCATGAAAAGTATTAAAAATGAGCCAAGGGCCACAGCTGTGGAAGGAGCCCCTTTGTAATTGTAGGCAGCAGACAGCATGTGTTCGCCGGCTCTTTGATGAGTAAAATATGTAAAGAGATCAGATCAAAGGTGACTGGAGTCTCTTTCTAATTTCAGCTGTTTTAGCAGGGTCAATGGGATATTCATGAGCAACGGTGTCCCAAGCAGTGACGAGGGAGGATCAAACAAGTGTCTCGACCCGCCCTGCAGACACATACACATGCACCAAAATGTAAATTAAGACAGCAAGACATGCACTAAGGAAGCTTGAACTTCCCCACAAGTGAGTCTTGAGTCTCATGTGAGCCGTCCCTAATGTTTGTCATAGCCCTTCCTCTTTCCTGCCCTCATCTTCTACAACAGAAACAACACACACAAGGGGAAATGTGCTGCGACAACATGCTCTCTCTCTCTCTCTCTCTCTCTCTCTCTCTCACACACACACAGACACACACACACACAAGGCAACACATTCATCAAGGCGACATGGGCAGATTGTCAGTGACACTCTGGAGCCTAGCAGGGAACCTCCCTGCACCAGCAACAGGGGTGGGCAGAACCAAAAGCCAGTCAGCCATGTAGAAGCCCTTGGTCAATTATATAAGACAGTGATTCATACATACATAGACGCACATGGAAATACACACAATTACTCACACATGCAACAGCAAAGGCCTACGAGTCTCTATGCTGTCTTGCAGAACTACGCTGTGGTGAGAGACTTCAGAGTATTCTTCTTCACAAATACCATCAAAGCGCCTTCTTCACTTTTTAACACTCGTCTACCGCCTCCACGGCACACAATCGCGTGAAAAATCTCTTTCCATTAGGAATGTGCAGAAAATTAAGTGAAATCGGAGTACATACAACTTCATTTCTGGTGTGGTGGCACCCCATTTGGATGACACAATCTTCGGTTTACTGTCAAACTCTGAAGGAGAATTCTCTTTCTTCCTTTTTCTCTTCTCTGATTATGTGAGTCACACTTCGGAGCCGAGTTAAGCGGTATGTATTGTAGGAGATTAGAATGGAGCAGGAGGGTGGCGGTGACGACGGAGACACATCCAGGAAATATTTTTTTTGTCAAACCGATTCACAGCTAAAAATAAAAAAAAAATCAATGCTGCATGTGTGTCATTTTGGTTAGATTTCTTTCAAATCTTTTCTGTATCAACGCAGAGACAACACATATGCCCTCATAGACGCGCACATTGCACGTACACACATCCTGCAAATCCCCATTAGGGTTTACTGAAGTTTATTTAATCTCATTGGAGGACTCGAGCAGTGCCAGTCTAATCCCAGCATTAGCACAAGGCATCTGGTGCATGGAGGCTCTTGCTCCATCTAGTCGGTCTGCGGTTTTACCTTCTGTGACGGTATGTCGGTGGTAATGTGGTCCACGTCAACCTCCTCCATCTCCCCCATCTTCAGACGACTCACCACCACTGTTCCGGCAGCACACACACCATCAGATGACCTGGAGTGAATCAGGAAGAGAAAAAAAATAAAATAAAATTTAGAATTAGTCTCTTCATTTGATCTGTTGAATAAAAAAGACCGCTTGGTTAAATGATCTTTTCCTCCGGCTGCTGCCCCTCTATGGGCCTCAGAAATATTAATCTTCATGTTGGGCCCCCCAACTCTCCAAACCTAATAAGCTTATTTCCAGCCTTGAACAGGTTGTGAAATTATAGAGCTGTTTGAATAAAAAGTGGAATCAGGACATGGATGCTTGCACTGCGGCGATTTCTTTTTCCTGACAGATTTTGCAGAAGAGTCTGCATGCGGAATAAAGCCGAGCCTGCTCCACTGGGGAGCTGATGGGGGGGAAGGAAAGAACATTTCGTCTAACTGTTCAAATGGCGGCCTAATAACCCAGGCTATGTGCCCTGACAGAGACGAAATTGATACTAGAGTTTTCATATCAGAGAGCCCGACCAATCACTTTCCCAATCATGGAGCCATGATTAAGGAGCTGATAGAAAATCTATAGTATTGGCAGCAAGACAGACGCTCTCAAATGAAGAAAAATGGTCCCTGGGTATCGCCGGAGCAAGTCTGATCACCTTAACAGACCCATCCCTAATGTGCTCAGTTCCACTCCAGCTGGAGAAAATATTGGATGTTGTGCGCCAGCCAATGGTCTGGGGAGACTTGTGGGGGAAGGATGACACACCCCTGCCTGAGCAGGAGAAAATGGAAGGACGGTGATGGAAGCAGAAAGGATGCTTTCAAGGCCAATCCATCTTTGTCGGATACAAGGAAGAAAATTTAAACTCACCCAGGAGAAAAGAGGAAAGGGAGGAAGCATCGTGAGGGACTACGGGAGAGGAGGACTGGGAGCGCACGGAGGGAGATGGAGAGAAAAGCGTCTCTGCAGTGGGACACTGGGAGCTTCAGTTAGTGCTTAATGTCGTACAGCAGTCTCAGAGCAGAGAAAATAACATTGGCTGGTTTATAAATCTAATCATTGTCCCTTGCCAGACACCTGTCTCAGTGTTTACTCCTCTGCTCATCTTCCTGTTTCCTCCCATTCCTCATCATGCCCCCCTTTTTCTCTGTGCAACAGAGGACTGAAGCACGGTAAAAGAAAGTCACCCTGACTTTGAACAAACAGTGTGTACTGACAGTGGCCCACACGTAATCGAGAAAATGGAGATTAACATGCATCACATTCAGCGATAGTCCTCCCAAGGCAAACCATAGGGGTTACAGTGGCCCTCTACTCTTTAGATTACTCTGCCGCAATCCACTAATGAAACTCTCCCTTTAAACAGACAAGAGACTCAGTTAGAATTGCTTTAGGATAATTGACTTACAGTATGCCTTTGAGAGATATATTGTGATGTTTTTGATTTGCAGCCAAACATAAACTCAGCACCTGTCTCACATACAATCTTTATATCTTCTTGTGTTTGAGGAAAAGAACTCTTCTGCTGCTCATTCAAGGGGATCCAAATGATTCAATTTAGCTCAGTTGCTGTGCGGCTTTACTGTAAAAATCTGTTGACATCGAGCACAGAAAAAGGCAGAGATTTCCTGACAGAACGCCTGGTTTGCTGTGACACACCTTTTTTTATTTCAAACTACAGTCTTTTAGCATGCACGCCGTCTGACCGTGAATTAACTTTCAAGGTTTTTGATGAGAGCTGTGGTTGAAAAAGAAGCCCCATCTTCCACTCCCCTCCTCTCCCACATTTCCTCCTCCTCTACCTCTCTTTCCGTCTGCTCTTGCTGGCATAAAAACAAATCTGCAGATTGTTCTTTGCCTGCGAGCCCATCTTTTTTTTTTTTTTTAATCTAATTGGCCAAGGATCTCTTTTATGACAACACTTAATCAGATGGCTTTGTTCAAGTGACAAAAATAATGTGCTTAAAATGTCTGCTGTGAATTTGGCACAATTTAAAAAATAATTAGTTATCGGGGAAGTGCCTTACATTTAACAGTTATTTTCTTTTGAGAGCCTCTCTTGCAATTTACAATTACATTTCCCCTATGTAGGAGCATGGAGTGTAATTTGTGTCAAATCACCTATTTGTACTAAAAGGCTTTTGATGAGTCATGTACATTAAGTGCATATACATTGTACAGCAAAGGTTCAAATAAGAGTCTATACTGTAGATTGTGAGTATAATTCAAAAGTCTACTGCTGCACATCAAATCTTACTTTCCCATTTTCACTGAAATTTGACAAAAAGGAACCTCTTTAAAGATATAATTATATCTGTACGGTATACTAACCACTAATGATACCAAAATAGAGTTAGAATTTTCTTACTTCTCGATAAGGTTCAATGAATTAGTCGTCGCTGCAGAAGCTGCTGCTGCATCATGCTTGCTTTGAAGTCAGGTGGAGCAAATGCTATTCTTGGGATGAAAATACATAAGCTCAACTGAATTTTTCCCCACCGACTGCTTGCACAGGCTGCTCAAAGCGCGACAACAGGGCAAATGAAGTGAAGTGATATTCAGTACATCTTGCTATAATCTCTACAACAACAAATTTAACATTGCCAATCAATTTAAATGAGCAAGAGATAAGCACCAGGAACATGTTGCACAATTTGACCTATAATTAAAAGAGAAATCCAGTAGATATGATGTCGAAAGTGGGATGTTTTGGACAAATGTGTCATTATTTAAAAAAACCAAAAAAAGAAACTTATGTGGCCTAGTTGGATTTGTACTGTGTGGTGGTGTGTTAGCAGAACCTGAGCATCATTATGTGTTTTCCACTGTAACATTATTACCATTATTATTTCCCCCCAATTATTGTAAATACTATCATTACTACGTTATGATTCGCTTCTCTGGTGGTTTAATGACAGATGGTGAAGGTTACCATTTGTGAATTTTTTGTTTGTTGAAATGAGCAGTTATACTTCGGTGAAAAAAGGCGTGCACTGCAATCTGGTGACACAGCGCGTCATTTGCAAGGATTGTTTCGTCTTTGTCCATGAATACAACCTGATGCTAGTTTTTACTCATCCTGTCGGTGCTCTGAACAGGGTGCATGCAAGTGGCAGAGGTCTTAAAGGTCTATACATAATAATGAGGATGATGCTGTGAAACATTTTCCGTGGAAGACAGTCAAATGGACAAAGATTGAAAACTTTACAACAAAGCAAATATTGCAAAAAAAAATTTGCAAGGATGTGAGGTGAAAGACAATTGCACTTCATTTTTCAAAGGTCTGAATTTAACAGCCGGTGGGTGGGGAAAGTTCATCAAAAAACTTCAAAGCAGTAGTTCTTCTGTGGACACTTTCTCTGTGGGAAGCCACACGTAGGAAAACACCTGACAGCCATAGAAATGAAGCAAAAACCCTGCTGTCTTTTCACACAAGGACTTTTACTTCAGCTGTGAGAAACTAAAAATACCCATCAGAAACTAGAAAAAAAAACAAACTATTCTGCTTTTTTGCTCCAGATTTTGCCCAACAAAAGATTGGTTTCAGAGTCCTTACACCTTACAGCTGTATATCGCCTGTGGAATAGGAGTGGTCAGAGAAAACTAATTGCCAGGATCCTAGACAGGCAACAAGAACACTACAGCCTGTAAGTGTAGCAGTGGAACTGTAGATGGGATTCTTGACCTATATAAAGCTGGACGGGTGCGCTAAATATAGCCGGCTAGTTTTCACTGAGGACAGATGTTAGGACATGGGGACAGTAATAATGGGGAACGCCAGCTTCAGAAGTGATACTGCTGCTCTTGATTTTCATTGCGGATGAATGACAGTATCACGTGACTCAGCAGTAATTGCACATTTTGCAGCTGGAGAACTGAGTCTATCAATAAGTCTACATTCCAGGCATTGTTCATAGAGCTGGCCACAACCATCAGGGGACTCTGTACTGAACACACTCTTTCTGGCTTGTCTGGACCACTTGCAGCATATTCCCAAAGAAAAAAACTGCCCTGGTTTTCACTTGATAAAAGAGAGTTCCACAAAAAAAAAAAAACATTCAGTCTGAATCTAAAATGAATGCAAATCCGTTAGTTTTGTTAGAAAAAAAAAATAAAAAATCTGTTCTGTACTAAAAATTAAGTACATTTTAATAGCAGTGGCACAGTCAGAACTTTTTATGCTTAAAAGGTAAAGCAAGCAACACATTTTCAATCAAAACAAGCTGATTGAACTGGAATACACCAGTGTGATCAATGCGATCAATGTGTACATTTATGCAATGTAAGTTGTCGGCTGCAATAAATCTGTGATAAGCGGAATAGAAGCTATGTCAGCGCAAGATGCACACTCGTACAAGGTTTGTGAGTTTTAACGCATCCTATTTGTTCCAGTTCCACCACACACACTACTGTATTCTTGCATGACGAGAGCTGTCTTCACACTACATTTACTTTTATGTTAGTGCTTAGCCACTGTCAGAAACCGTCTGGGATAAGCTGTTTTTACAGAAGAAGCAAGGTGGAAAAAATATCCAGAAAGGATGCTATTTCGTCAACCAATCACATCAATCCAGGACTGCGGTTCAAAAGTAGGCAGCTGTTGACTGTCGCGGGACAAATATTTGTAAATTTCACAGAATTTAGAGAAAGTCATATGGGGGAGATTCAATGAGAAAGCTGTAGATGCGGCTAAAATGCACAGAGAACAATGAGAAAATCACATTTTCTACATAAATATACAGGCTATGATGACAGTGACAAGATATCTGTAGGTATAATGCTCATGAATAACACCTTCAGAAAAAACAAACGTTTGAATATTGTTCTGCAAACACCAACAAACTGATTATTATTTTCCATATGCAAATAGTATTCCACCACACATAAACACTGAAAGCAGCAGCTGCCGCATGTCAAGCTGTGACTATCTGTAGACATGCAACCGTTTTACATCTCAAAACAGTGACATTAAAAAAAAAAGAAAGAATTAAACCTTTACTAAGCTATTGTCACCAGTCATGAGAAAACGACAATGAATTAGAGAGTCTCAACAGAATGCAACACCG